TCACCTAGGAGCCTGCCAAGTAGAGGGTGAAGGCCAATTTCAGCATCTGTAACGTTACGAAATAAATACTTTATTCCTGAAATTTCACATACAATAATTTATGGAGTGTTTAGATTTTAATGGAAGATACACTCTATTGCTCTAGTTGAATTTTCAAGTTTCATTTACAAAAACATATCTATAGTTGAATATTACTGGAGTTTTTCCCAACAACTAATAAATCGTTATTTTTAATACTTCGACACGTGTTTCGATCACCAAGTGATCATCTTCAAGAGAAAATCTTCCTCTTGAAGATGATCACTTGGTGATCGAAACACGTGTCGAGGTGTTAAAAATAACCATTTGTTGTTGGGAAAAAACTTCAGTAATATTCATTACTACATCAAAGGTTTCAAACAGTGCATCATAAGTATATGTTTAGTTGTCATTGTAAATCATATGCGATGTGTATAGCAATAGTTTATGGTGACGGTCACCAAAGGACACAATTACAAGTTGATTTTTTTTCCCATTCTACAGATCAATTCTGGAATAGATAATTTCTATTGAGGAATGCATTCGCAATGAGTAACTGAATGCTGTATCAAATTAGAACACATCTCTGTTTTTGGGTTGAGTGAAAGAATATTTTTGATGATGTCCATCACCTAACAAAAATAAACTTCTCCCTTTATTTTCAAAAGTATCTAGGATAGTCATCAGTTAAGTCTTTTATATAACCACATTCCAAAATTAAATTTTTTCAATACCGTACTCAGCTGTTTAGTATCGTCTTTGGACAGAAATTTAAGGAATTACTTTTGATACCACTTAAGGACACATTGAATTAAAACACGATGAATTTCTTAATAACTTCCAAATGATGCTTCTGATACGGCAGATGATTTTACTTTCACCTATGTTTCGGTTTGTCATAACAATTGGGTGATTACCAAATTTCACTTGAATCTCAGACTGACAAAGATGCAAAGGAATCTGTGTTCAAAATGGTTTCGCGAACCATTTTTTGAGTCTCAGAAATATCGAAAAAAATAGGAACATATATTGAATACCTGATGTCGGCATATTATTTATGGGTGTCCATGAGCAAGTTTTTTGATTCAGCCGGAAGCGAAAATGAAAATCTATAATAAATAACATAGACTTGACCTTGAGAATTAAGAAATGAACACACGTATTAATAACATGCTAGGTTGGTACTACAATAATTATATTGCATGAAATCAAGCTGATGTAGTGAGATATTATTTTTTAGCTACCAAACAATATATTTTTGAATACATACTTCAAACAATTCAGAAGATTTGCACTGTATTGACATTGCTCGTTAATTTTGAAACGTACTAGTATCCATTGTGAAGAAAACCTGGAAGAATAAGATCGACAATAAACTGCAGTGCTTTACATAATTCTCATATCAATTCCAGCAGTTAACTTGTCCTTGAGTTTTTTGGACGCCTCAGATATATCTTTTTCCAAAATAGCGTCAAAATTACTGGTTCGCATTTAGTTCGGTCAAATTAGACCAAAAAATAAGAGTAAAGCTACCCAAATTACACCAAGCTGAAAAACAGTAAGATTGTTTGAAATATGATTANAAGTTGCTTTTACCTTTTCAATCTCTGCTAATATCCATCATTCGGCAATAGTTTCAAACTAAACAGGATCACAACTGACTCGTAGTTTCTCTACTGGGAAAACCACGTTAAAGAAAACGCGGTGGTGTGGAAACGTGTGCATATTACCACGATTACAAGTTTTACAAGTCTTTGAATCGTTATATCTGAAAAACGGTGGCTCATAGGAAAAAATGTATGTATACATTTTTTTTGTAGATACATTTATGATCTACAATTTTTGTCCAATGTATTTTCATGATAAAACTTACCGGTTTACTGAAAATCGCAAAAAACTCATTTTTTTGACCTTTGCCTTGAATATAATTTTTGTTCATACAGGGACAAGATGGGGAACTTTCAAATTAGGTAGCTTCGAATATCTAAATTGACCGGACTAATTGACGTATCGTTATAATTTGAACGATCGCTTTTGAATTCAACATAAACAGTTTTGAAGTAACTACGTGGTAAACATATTTGAAATCATATTGTTTCAATTATTTATTCTGTTGAAATGTGTTTTTTGTTAGCCTTAATATTCCCGAATGAAGTGCCACTATTGAGAGATGCTACCATATACACAGTTACAACTAACTTGTGCAATTAAAGCTTGATTAGTGTCCAATAAATAACACGTATATATTTCCTGCGGCACAAATCGCTATGAAATCTACAGAATTAAGGAAATTATTTGTTTACTATAAGGAGTGTACTTCGAATAGCAGTCAATAAGTTCCTGATTACATATTTTTATATCGGTTTACAGTTACGAATTTCCATTTAGCGAATTGCTGAAAATGGGAAGCTCGACGAAATGATAATTTCGTTGATGATATATGATTAACAGTAATTTCACAAATTATATATGTCATGAGCGTTTTTCGAAATTGGCTATGGTTTTAGCATGGACAACATTGTAACGTTTCTGTGGGACTATCCATTACAAGTGCCAACGGTCCAGAAAATTTTGGAATCTAACAATAACAACACTCATTTTGAGTCATTTATGTTTCATTTTTTGAGCAGGGGAATTGCTGAAATGGCATCATTTTTGAATGACAAAGTAGAAGCAAGTAACGGATGCTACCTTTGAATGTGATTGGTGGAATTCAAAGTTTAATATCAAGTTCAGTATCAACAATAGTTGGTACTGAAAAATACTGTATTTTAATCATTCAGAAATGTGAAATAATAGATCAAAAATCACTGAAGAAAACATAAAACTCAAATGTCATTTTCAAAATTCATTGTTTAAATTATGTTCAAACATATGAACATGAAGTAAATAATGAAAATCGAGCTATTAAAACATCAGCAAACATAATCCATTTCAAAAAAATCCTGTCATGTAGGAGCCCAATTAACTGAAGTTCTCTACTTCTCATCCCGTTCCTCGATAGGAATATTCATCAATCTGATCAGTAAAAAAATACAGGGTAATTGAACTTTACAACTGTTGATCGTAATCCTATCTTCAAGAAAAATCAAGTATCTCATATTCATATTCAAGATATTATCCTTGGGGTACCACAGGGGTCTATTTTGGGCCCACTGCTTTTCCCTATCTATATAAATGATCTTCCGAAGTATATAAAATAAGGTTTCATTATTCTATTCGCAGATGACACTACCATAACAGTGCGGAAAAACTGCGGAGGAGCTAGAAAACAAAATTAATTCAGTCATGGATGACATGACTTCTTGGTGTGATAGAAATCAACTGAAACTGAATTGAAGTAATACAGTCCATTTAGGCTTCGCGTTAAGGAAAACAGTGAAACTTAACAACATCCAACTCTCGGATACAGCCAAACTTCTTGGTATGTTTATAGATAAAACCTTGTCTTGGGAGCCCCATATCGATTGTATCT